TTCCCTACATTTAAGATTATACCACGTTATTTTATAAAAACGCATAAAGCATCTACAAAATAGGACAGATTAACTGTGTTTAAAGTCAGCCTTGAGCAGATCTATTCTTTACAAGCTTGAAGGGGCAAACACAGTCTTTTGTGGAGAAGTAGAGATGAACCCTTTGGAAGAGTAAAGAGAAGGTTAAGACTAGATGACCTATGAAGGTCCCCTCCAGTCCCACTTCTCTATGACCCTTAAAAAACAAAACAACACTACAGCAAACAAAAACACCTCTGGTTCCACATCGGGAGGCAGCAAGTTCTTCAGCCTGTCCATGTCAGCTCTAGCTGAATTGCTGTATTGTGCTACTGCATGAGAACCTCAAAAGTAAGACTGGCTACCAGTCATTTTCATTATCCAAGCTAAACAAGGTTTTAAGAACGTTAATGTTTCTTGTACTAGTTTAGAATAAGAAGCCAACCAGAACCTAAAGACATAGGGAATTTTTTTTTAATTATAGTTTTTAAGTCTGATATTGGCATGTCACTTTAAAGTGAGACTATATACCAACCTGTACATTTTTAATATGAAATACACCACAAGTCAGAGTCATTCTACCAAACTAAATAGAATTCCTGCTCCGCATAAGTGGACATGGAAATGATATACAACACAGTAACTAGTAGATTCTCCTATAGTATTGGAAAACTTGTAAGTCATCCTTTGACTGGTGAGCCTATGGAGTCCTAAAAGGCAGGTCAGTCTGAAATAAGCAACCTTACTGCTGCTGTTTTGCTTTTTTGTTTGTTTGTTTTAAGAAAAATGCACATAAACCCATAAGATTCATAGAAAAAAACCTGCCGCTTTCAAATGTCCTACACTCATTTCTAACCTTAAGTTTAAAATTTTAGTGCAGTAGTAGGAGAATCTGGATAGTCTTGCTTTGGAGAAGTTCTAATAAATTCACTATTTAAAAGGCATTTTTTTTCAAATATGAATTACAATATAACAGGTCTAAAATATAAAAACATCTAAACATAATATTAAGGTTTTTTAAGTGGCATGATAAGAAATAAAGTACATCATACTTTCTAATTTTGAGATGACTTCTAATTTTAGATGCCCAACTTTAAAAAAAAAGTTGGATTTCCAGAGGTGCTGAGCAATCACAATTCCAAATAAAGCCATATTGTTATCTTAATTAGTGGTTATTTTGAAGGTAAAAAGTTTTATTTTTACTCTTTGAACAGAAAAAGTGGATATGCTGGAAAAGTAATCCACATATATTGTGAAAAAATCCCTTCAAAGCGGACAGAATATCTTTGCCTTAGAATATTGACCCAGGTGCTGACAGCATGGTCCATCCCATCTTAAATTTCTGTGCCTACTCACCAGCTCGGAGGGGGCGTGGAACTCCCCCAACAAAGATGGTTTTTCTTGGGTCCAAAGGCTGAGAACCATCCATTACAAAGTCACTATCACTGAGGTTCCAAGGTCGAATTTGCACCTGAAAAAAATTTGTTGATTTTGTCTTTACTTCATTGCTAATTTCCCTTACTTAAGTAATCAAAATGAGAAACAACTTGGGAGTATTTAAGATAATATATTAAGGCCAATTAGAATAAAGGACATATATGCATATGCACACGTATATTTTTTTAAATAAACAATCAGAAAAATTATGGGATACAAAAGTGAAAACAGTACAAATATACCATATTATCTATCCTACTAAGTATTTGTAAAGCACAACATAGTGTTCATTTGAAAAAGGCAAACAATGTATCACTTCTAGAGGCCATACTTGAGTTGATTCCCTCAGGCATTCATCTAGTCCATTCTTTCCCAGTTTGCCTTTCCCACATTCTTCATTAAAATATGTAAATAGACATTTGGAGCTTTATCATGTATAGTGTGAATTTAAGGCTGCAGGTTGGACATTCAACTTCCTTTTAATTGTATGGAGCTTTTCACAAGTTTTTAAAACAATTGATAAAAATAGAGGAAGGAAGTCCAATTAATTCCTTCACTTCAGCTAAGAGGTTTGGTTAAATGGAAAGACATTTGCTTAGTCTACTTAAGGAGCCAGATGGGCAGCTGAACTGGGAGTCTTCAGATTGTACAGAATGAGGCATTATGCTCAAAAGCCATTTGGATGAACCTACTCACCCTTCCAACCTGCCGCATGAGAGACATTTGACAGCATATTTAGTATTGCAACTGAATTGCTATTTCCATTCATCCATGCAAGTTGCATACTCTTCTCATTCAAATAAGCTATTTGGAATCTTTTATCTGAATGTCCTTAATGACTATTCCAGAAGAATTGTGCATACAGTATGATTTAATTACAATACATAAGAGCTACCATTAGATAAAACCTAAACTCCCAATCCCGCAAGAAATTAGGCATGTACGCAATTTTGCTTATATGAATAGCCCCATCATGTGAATTTAAATGTCTTCAGGATTGGTGCCAGGCTCCTTAACTTTCTCATTTGTAAAGCATTTTAACCACTGGAGCAGGCAATAAATATTTGTGCACATGGAATAAGCAGGCAGTCAGCAAATGGCTGAAATTACCTTTGGAAATAAGAACTACATACCCTTGATGTTTAGAGAAATACATTACCATGACGGTCTAAAACAGACTACTACTATTTTTTTGTCCTGGTGCCTGTAAAAAGTTAAGTAGCAACTCATTACGAATAAAACCAGTCTTAAAAATTAGTCTAACAGATCCCTTTCTGTTTTTAAAATGTCCAGATAAAAGATTAGTAATAGAGAACATGGAAGTAGTTTTCTTATAGGATTTAACAGAGACAGCAATTCCTGAGTGTCTTTGTACTGTCCTGTTAACAGTTATGACGAGAACAGGTTAATTTGTTCAATCTAATATTCAGCCTCTATTCTAGCTCAGCTGTTAGCGAGATTGGACTAATATTGCTAAGTGGAAGTCACATAACAGTTCCTGAAGCAAGCAACAAAATTATCTAAACTCGTTTCTGAATCCAGACTAAGGTGAAAACCTATTTTTTTTTTACATGCAAGAAGTTCCATTGTTTTTCTTCTGCAATGCAACTTTACTTTCCAGATGATTAGAAGCATGTTATTGATAGCAGTTGGCTCTTTTCCAGCAGTTAATAGGTTCATTACAAGTAGAGACAATTAGCCAGCCAATACCTATGATTGATAGGGAATGGAAATAAGCAAAGTAATTCTGGACGAAAAAGAAAAAAGGGAGAACTGGGGGAAAATATTAAATTAGATATCCAAGGCACAATAGATTTGGAGTTAAATAGAGCAAAATATATTTGGTTTTCTGTAGCAATGAATTTATGTATATAAAAAATGGAAGACTCTAGTTAAAATTTGATTTGCTTGTGACTCAGCAGAAATGCACTTTAGATGTTTTTCTTCCATATGGTATTATCTCACCCTTCGCCTGTCATCAGAAGAGCCTAACTGCATGCTTCTCATTGGTTTTAAATAACATTCCTTTAGAAAACCAAATCTGTGTCAAAGCAGACTTGCTAAAGAAAGTGAAAAGTCTGCAAGATGATGAATTGCTTAGGAAGCACATACAGAATTGAAAGCAATGAAGAGATTTCATGAGGTATTGGCACCAGTCTCTAGATTAAAGAGTTTTCTATTTCAGTTCATAGGACATTTCTTTTTCTTTTTAAGAAAAACTTAGTAAAGTAAGAATTAGCCAAAGTTTTTGTTACAGATACAATTGTAACAGGGCATTCTATTAGCATGAAACTGAAAGTTGCAACCTAAACAATAATTAAACAGCGTGGCTATTATTAGCTTCTGGAAAAACAAGTTTTGATAAAGCAAGAAGGTAAGCCTGTTAAGAATCAGCAAAATAATCAGAACAGTTTGAGGTGGGAGCCACTGGATAAGCAAATTGCCTGTAAATCTATTTGCTTTAAAACTGAAGAGGTAAGAAGCCAGTGAGTTGGCAGCTATGGTGCCTTGTACACGCTGCTTACTGGTTTGTCCTTGATGGTGGGGCTCGACACACACAGGTACAGTTTCCCGTCTTCTTCCAGACAGGCATCTATAAGAGCTTGTACAGAACTTTCTTCTTGGAACAGCAGAAAGGCATAACCTTGGAAAGGACAAAGACAAACACAAAACAAAGAGAGGTGACTTTTTACCACTTGTTTTTTCAAGAAAGAAATTTTTAAAAGTCTCAGGCTGTGACTAATATCTAAGAACTGCAAATATATTGCAAGTTGCACAAGTTTGCCTCTCAGCAAAGTGTTCTGCTACAGACCTTTGTCATGCTCCTCCATCAACACGGAACACATCATCCCTGGACTGGTCTATACATACTATAACATTTAGGGTTCATTCACCTGATCCTCCACCATTACTTGCTTACAGTTTCCCTTTGCTCTCTATATTGGTCAGGCATGAGGATCTCTATATAAAAGGATGGATACAGATTCAACATCAATGCCAAAAACACAAAAGCTTGTGAAAGAACACCTTAACCTCCCTGGACATTTCATTACTAATGTCAGTGTAGCTGTCCTTCAAACAAAAAACAAACAAACAAACAAAAAAGAGTCTTAAATGTGAAACTGTAAAAACTAGAAGTCATCTAGACAGGACTGTATTAACCTGCGTCTTAATAAGGGCTATGGATTCTTAGCTCAATATCTGAACAAGCCGTTTACTTTGGTGTTCTTTCAAGTGTTAACTGTCTTGTTTTGTTTAAGGGATCTATTTGTAGCAGTGTTGAACTGAGAAAAAGAGAAGCATAAAACTCTTGGTTCAGAGGTGATATCTTTTATTACACCAACTAAAAAGTAGCAAAAAAGTCTGTCTTTGCAAGCTTTTGGGCACACGCAGCCTTCTTCAGGTTGAAGAGAGATCAAAGATTGTCAAAATGCTCTTAGGTAGAAAATAAAAGTTCATTTTGCACAGGGGAGATAAAAGCTGGAAGTGTACTCCCCTGGGTCTGAGAGTCCTTTCGTGTAAGTGTTGCTCTGTGATGTGCAGATAAGGCTGTCTTCATCCCTGGAGGTGTCTGATGTCAGAAGCAGGCAGGGAAGTGCAAAAATCTCTCTTTCTTGTTTAGCAATGAAGTTTATTTTTCTGTTTTTGGAAATATATATTTAGCCATTTTTGGAAAAATAAACTTCATTGCTAAACAAAAAAGAAGGATTTTTGCACCTTCCTGCCTGGTTCCGACATCAGACACCTCCAAGGAAAAAGACAGCCAGGGCGGGCCCTGTGGCCATGTGTTACGGCCCCAGGCCCCAAGCCCCAGGAACTGCCCAGCTGGGCAGCAGCCCCAACCCCAACCCTGCTCAACTTCCCTCCCTTCCTCCCTATGGGGCCCTCAATTCCCCACCCCCCACAACTTACTGGAAGGAGCTGCTCTCCAGGCTGCCTGGGGCCATGTGCGTATACATGCACAAGGTGCTCCCTGCCTGACTGCCCTCCTCCTGCTCCCTCTCAGCCCCCTGCAGGCTGGAACTCTTCCAGCCTGCAGAGGGATCACTACAAAACTGCAAAATCCACAGTTTTCTCCAGTAAAATGAGATATCTGTGTTTGCCTTTGGTAAAAATCTGTGGTTTACTCCTTTTTTCCATGGGAAATGAAAAACCTGGATCCCTGGATATAACCTCTGAACCAAGAATTTTGTGCTTCTGTTTTGTTTAGCAGCTGATTTAAACCAGTGATTCTCCACCAGGGTACCATGGCACCCCAATATCCTTTCAAGGGTGCCATGCAATATTAACACTATTAAGTGTACAAACACGATCAACCCAGATATTTCAAATAGGAACCCATAGTGTTAAAAATACTCTGACCTGTTCTGGTCTTTCTTAGGTTTTTGCAACAGCAGAATTGTTCTATTATTTTTGTGTAGTAAAAAGCGAGTGAAAAAGGGCTAACATTTTCCAAAGTGTGTGGAGCCAAATGAGGGGTGCCTTGAGTCTAAAACCCCCGAGAACCACTGATCTAATTGAACCCCAATAACACTTCGCAGCCTCCCCTTCCTTTATACCTTTCCCTTCTATTAAAAAAAAATATTTCTGCCAGTTCATTCGTAGCATCTGACCAAAGTCATAGTTGCCTACAAAAGCTCATGCCTCTCTGAAACAGTTGGCCTCTAAGGGAGATTGTACATGTGATGGTGGGGCCATGTACACACGACACAGTGATGAGAAACAAGTCATTTGTCTAAATGGCATCACCATGTACACATGCACAATTTTTTTTGTGGAAAAATTTCTTTGAGCATGGCAACTTAAACCAATGCATTTAAAAACGGGGCAAATTGTCCCATTGTGGATAAAAAAAAATTTGTGCACATGTATGTGTCACATGGGTGTGCTGGTGGCCGGAGAAGGCAGTGGGGATGGTGCATGGGGCACTGGAAGTCCAGACATGCTCAGGGAAGCTCAGGTTTAGTGGGCTTCCAGCACCCCATGCACCATCCCCATCACCTTCTACAGCCACCAGCACACCCAGCCACTCTCATGCTGCCTTCCCACTGGATTGGGTGCTGTCTGCAAGGTGGGACAGCACCTGCCCAGGCAGCCCCAAGGGGCAACACTGCCACAGAGGAAAGCACTGAGCCCCCGCAACCTGGTGGCAGCTCACACAGGCAGGCTTCATGAGGGGTTGGGGGAAATCAGGCCCCTCATCGTTAACAAGCCTGCCCCGATGGGGGGGGGGGGGGGGGGGGGGGGGGGGGGGAGAGTACCAGCAGGCCATCATTGTTCCATAATAGTGATAGCAGCTCCTAAACTGAAAAGCAGTGGGTCACGATTAAAAACCCACCATTTCAAATTTAGTGTTACTAAACCACGGCCCCCACTCCTCCTCCTGCCCATGTGTACAAGAGCCATAAGGCCGCATCCAGATGTCCATGGAGAACCAAATATCTATGTTCAACTACCAGTGGCACGCCTTATACTGTTATCCTGGTTAGTTATCCCTGGGAATGCCAGTGCCACACACCCACTTGCATGCAGCAGGTTACCCTGGGAGGGGTTGGAGAAGCTGGAGCCAGCAACTGTGCTGGTCCCAGTAGCCTTACCTGGGATCCTGGGAGCTGGGGAAGCTGCAGTCACGTTGCTTCTGCAGCTGGGAGGCTGGCTGACAGCTAGAGTGTGGCTCCAGCCGGCCAGCCACCAGTTTTGGTTGGTGCATGCTGCCTCCATGTGCACCGCTCTGGTTTTTTTTGTCCCTGGGATCTCCCAGGGTCCAACTGCCTCCCGCCCCCTCCCCACGCTGCAAGGTAGCAGTGTGGGACATGCCTGAATGTGCAGGGTGTGGCACCGCAGATGAGCACAGGGCCACATACCACACAGCCGTGCATCCAGAAGCAGCCTAAAGGTTGTAGCTTGCCCTACCTTCTAGTTAAAAGAAGGTAATTTTGAAAGAAACCTAATAAATCACTGAAAGAGGGTTTTTAGCAGAATATATGTGGTTCATAAGGTACTTGAATTTGGACCCCTACTATCATACTTCAAATCAAATTTTACTGTAGCTGAAAATACTAGGATAAAGCAAGCTACACTATAACATAAGTTGAGCCTCAGGTATTTCAAATATATACTACTAATAGCTTCAGTTTTGGAATGAGAGAGAATAATTGTTTCACGTTCTAGTTTCCCCTAAACTTTTTATGTAAGACTCTTACAAGGAGATTGGTCAGTTTTTATGTTTTCTACTTTCACGTAATTACAAACTTCCATTTATCAGGTATCCAGGTTGTAGCTGTATTGGTCTAGGGGAAAAGGCAATCAGGACTTGTAGTAGAGATGATCTCTTTTATTAGACCAACAAGATTTTTGCAAAAAAGCTTCTTTAATTGCAAGCTTTAGGACACAAACACCCTTCATTAGCCATTGGAGAAAAGATTATAAAAGTTCTCCTGGATAGAAATGGAAGTTCATATTTCATAGGATTTTTGCAAAAACCTTGTTGGTCGAATAAAAGCTATCACCTCTACAAACTTCCATTTATGTTTCCATCGAAAACAACAAATATTAGGCTCATCAAAAAGTTCCCTAAGCTAGATCAAGAGACTACGTAAAAGTTGCAGATGGAAACGAATAGAGCTGCCCATTAGAGGTGCATTTCCTGTAAAATGTCCAAGACATGCTCCACAATTACTCGAATTCCCACAGAAAGCTGAAGCACTGCAATGGGGACCAACCTTTTTGGCAGGCATGCCACAAATTAGCCCTGTACCCTTCAAGCACCATTCCAACCCCCTTCTCTGCCAAATCTGCTTTGTTTTCTGCTCACTGCTTTTTTCTCTCTTCCCAATCTGCTGTTCTTGCCCTACCAACCACTGTGCTGTCTGCCCCTTGCCCAGTCTGCCATGTGCCCCACACAGGCTGCCCCTGTCGCTTGTGGCACACCTGTTGCAAGCTGGTCACCCTTGAAGTACTAGATCATTTGGACCCTTGGACCCCATCCACCTTATATACTGCCTCTCTTCATAGTTCTGCAGTAACTATAGTCAGCTTGTGGCCTACACCTATTCTCAGACTTGTATTTCTTCGCACCCTTTAGTCCACCAAATGCAAAATATAACGACCTTCCAGTTGCTCTAAAAGATTTCCTTGCCAGGTTTTATGTGGGAGGCAGAGCTAAAGAGGGGCTTCAGTGGAGTATTGTACAAGATAGAGACAACTTTCTTTGTATTGTGACTTCAAATCTTGTACATGCAGTAAAATTCTTGAAATCAAATTTTCACCAGATGCTAAAAAAACATCTCTTCTCTCTAAGGACTAATCTCCCGACCAGCCTTCTTTCTAATGCCTACTGTCTCTAGAGCGGAACTGATCAAAGCAAGATTGTGCAGTGTTTTTGTAATCAAAGTGTAATCAGCAGCAGCAAAGACCAGACCTAAAACTTCACCTGGCAAGGTAAATATTTCAGAAGTACACAGGCAAAATTTGTCTGATAATTTGTTGTTAAAGTGAAAAAGATTATTACAAATATAGCCACAGTAGTCCTGTCTGGCCTATTGAGGCATCCTGCAATTAAAACCTACTGATAGACTCCACAAAGTTCAGCATAGCAAAGTAAACTAATTGGGCACTCTTTCAAGATCAACTTGTACAGGAAAA